TTTCTTATATTTCCCTTCCACGCTGTAAAATTGCGCCCTGGCTGGAAGCGAGTGAGATTACGGGAGGGAAGGCTTTATTTCTTATGCAAATTATCCCTGCAACGTAAGCTTTCAATTTTGAACATTTCTGTAACGAATGCTTGGATGAAAGTGAGTAAATATTTCCTCGGCTGAAGGAAAACATGGGGCGATACCTTCCCGGCTTCGACTCGACTCGAATGTTCTGGATGGGGTTCAGATCGAGTTCTGTTCTGTCTTTTTTATATTTTTTCTTCTGTTTTCTCTCTTGTGTTTTTCTTCTGTCTGTCTGTCCGTCTGTCTTATGTCTATCTGTCTCTGTCTCTGTCTCTGTCTGTCTGTCTCTCTCTCTCTCTTCATTCATCACTCTCTTCTGTCTCTTCTCTCTCTTTCTCTCTGTCTCTCTCTCTCTCCTCTCTCTCTCTCTCTCTCTCTCTCTCTCTCTCTCTCTCTCTCTCTCTCTCTCTCTCTCTCTCTCTCTCTCTCTCTCTCTCTCTCTCTCTCTTTCTCCCCCTCTTTCTCTTTCTCTTGAGCATTTTCTTACTAAGAACTCACAATTGATATCTTCTTTAAAATGAAACGTTATTCCTTGAACAATAAATCTGATGTATTCACTATAAACATTATATCAAAGGAATCCATGTGTAATCTTGTGCATAAAAATGGAATTCCTCAAAATGGCTCTTTGCAACTGCCAGTGTTATGAGAGCGCTTCGTATCTATATACTCTTTATACATACGTTGATAGTCTGCTGTGTGATCGTGTCTCTACTCTTTACGAAGACTGTTGTGTTTACTCTTTAATAATACTCTTTACAGTTTCCTTCATATACGTGTGTCATTTTCGAGTTGATTTTAAGTGCAAGAGGTTTTATAGGTTTCGTATATTTGTGAATCTATGCACTTATTTGGAATTGACTTTTAATTATGTCATATCTTATGTTACTGTTTGATTATATCATAGTTACACCTTCAAAATAGTTGTACTTCATGGAATACAAATATATATAGCATTGTATTTAATTGCTTACACTTCGTATACGACTTTATTGCAAAAGTAAGGATATGTCTGTGGGTATAAGACCCTGATTCTGATTTTGTTAACTGTCTGTCGTTTTGCTTCGGTTTGCTTTGTTGTCTGACATGTTGCAGACGTGAATGTTGCTCTTCCTGGATGCACGCTTCACCGCATTGAGAATGAGGGTCAGTGGGGGCTGGATAGCTATTTTGGGCTGGACAAGTGGCAGGATGAAATGATTGCCACTTGTCAAGGATCCATTTTGTATTGCATATGAATGTATATACTATAGATTTTTCTCATATTTCAATGTAATGTCAGCCATACTCTCTCGATGTGGTTATCTTTACACGTTCAGCAGCAGGAAGGATATGATGCTTCAAATAAGACCTAAACTGCTTTTCTCTATCTACGCCATTGTAGAATGTAGATTTATAAAGCTCAGAAACGAAGGACACAGATTTAGAAAGAAAAAAGTATGGTTGTGTTTACGATCCACGTGTAACTGCTTTTCTCTGCCTACGCCATTATAGAATGTAGACTTATGAAGCTTGGATTTTCGGAATCAAATGAAGGACGCAAGTCTAGAAAGAAAAATCATGGTTGTGTTTACGATCCACGTCCCAGAACAGCCTACCGTCCCGAGCTGTTCTCCTGACGCTGTCGTAGACGATAATGGCCGTCAGCGGTTCAGCACCAGGATCACACTTGTGGTTGTAGGAAGCACGATAATTCATGTGGATAGAGATAAAAAGCGAGAGGGCAAGGCGGGTAGCGTGGATATCTCAATGGGGCAACGTCCATGCATCAGCTGTTATGGTATTGTGCGTTTTTGCATGCGGTTCCTTTGCTTATACAATGAAAACATTCACATAAGCGTATGTAACGAAAACATTCACATATGAGCGTATGTGGCCTCCCTCTCCCTCTCTTTCTCTCTCCTCACACTTGAAAGTCCATAGCATCGGTTCTCCTTATGAATGAGAAAGCAAGCACTTCACACATGGGCGTATGAGGCCTTTCCCCCAGTGTCTCCACCTGCGCCTCTTCCCCCAGTGTCTCCACCTGCGCCTCTTTCCCCCAGTGTCTCCACCTGGCGCCTCTTCCCCAGTGTCTCCACCTGCGCTCTTCCCCCCAGTGTCTCCACCTGCGCCTCTTCCCCAGTGTCTTCTCCCCAGTGCACCTGCACTTCTTCCCCCAGTGTCTCCACCTGCACTTCTTCCCCCAGTGTCTCCACCTGCACTTCTTCCCCCAGTTGATCACCTATGCCGTTTCTTGGGCCGAGAATCCGAGGAGGCGAGACGAGCGAAGGAGCAGACACCTCCTCCATCTCCTCTCTCGCGCATTTGCTCCCTCGTTGAACATCTGATTTATGCACTAGATGTACAAGCCCGGTGCTCATTCCTCTGCAT